ATATTTAGATACGAAATTTATATGGTATATTCATGAAATCGTTACAAGGTTAAAAGATGGCAAAAATAGTGTTACACTCCTGACATCACTGATGATCATGTACAGAAAGTGCATGATTTAGTTAACTTGAACTTATGTCACTGCTGACATCACTTGGACTCATGTTTTTGAAAAAGAAAGAATATATTAATATAACACCTTATATGCAATAAGGAAATCAGTAAAAGTACAAGATGTTACACTCCTGACACTGAGCACTGTCATTATTTTGAATCGAAACCGAGTCAATAACATTTATAGCATAGAAAAAAGAGAATTTATATTCTTAACTATATACAATGGTCAAAATGTTAGAAGCAAGGAAAAGCTCTTAATAACAAAGATATAAGCAGAAACTTTACTGTTAGTACAAACCATGCTTTTTTTAAAGTACATTTTATTTTACAACAACTGACTTTAGTGACTGGATAACCAAGTGGGATACCTACATTTTACAAAAAAAAATAGGAAAAAGCAATTGCGAGAGAATAAGATATATAACATAAGTGACAAAAATTGTCATTTAAGAAACTGTTTTTCTGTATCAGGAATAGAGAATCATCATTTGTGTAAAATGTCACACTAAAAGTGTTACACTCCTGACATTTTAGGGTAATTTTTTTCTTGTATCTTTTTCACTTGTAGCGTGATGTCCCTGAAACTTGGCATATTTTACAACACTGATAGATGCTATATTTAGCACTTATAACAATATACACAACTATTAAAATATTAATCTTGGTAGCCTTTAAATGTTTGGCCTCATTATTTTTGACTTTACCCATTTACAATAATGTATAAATACTCAACCATAATCAAATGGTCACGAAAAATAGTTGATTTTCCTTATTAGATATAAGAGGTCCCGGAAAATCGCATTGCAAGGATCGTATAAGATATATATATCCCGGGAAATTGACCATTACCATCTTGCTTTCAGAAAAGCCGGGATCTATTAAACAGTACAGAGATCACGGGAATTGACCACATGTCAAAAGTTTTGTTTTTTTTGTTATCAATTATGTTAAGTATACAGTTGAGTTCACACTAAACTTCCCACCCTTGTGCACTTCTAGTGCACTAGAGCTGAACTAGAAGTGCACTAGAAGTGCACTTCTAGTGCACTAGACCATATGACCAGGCTGGCCAGGGAAGGTGACACCTAAATGGTTTATTGGATAATTGTATATCAAGTGGGGGGGGGGGGCATCCACTGTTACGCTGCTGTATGAAAAAAAAATTGGGAAAATATATATATGGCCTATTTATGAATATAAATAAGTAAATTTTAAAATCAGCAGTTTTAACATTTTAGGAGATTATCATTTTGAAACTGAAAATAAAAATGTTTTTTTCATTTATTGTAATCATATTTTTATTAACCAGTATTTAACTGTAGGTGGAAAATTATACCCCTTAAAATCAAATTTATAGAATTAATAAGGTTAAATTTAAATATGCTCCGTAATGGATAATTAAATAAGTGTTTTTAAAGCTTTTTTAAATGGCCATATATTTCAATTTTTCTAGTGTACAAATGGTATAAATCAATGTGATAATTCTGGCCCAATTAATTTAGTTTGTTACATCATAAACTTATTTTCATAAGCTCAAACAAATCAAGGAAAGGTTATATTTAAGCTAAAATATTATTTCTATAATATATAACTTATAGAGACAATTCATCATGTTATTGAAAGAAAATATTAATACATTGATTTTAAAACAATCAATATACTGTGATAATTTAGTATTCAACTGTGTAATGCTTGCATATGTTTATGCAAATAATCTAAATATTATCCATAAAATAAATAAATTTGATATCTTTATTCATTATTTCAATATTAAAAATTTAATGTATAAAGGGAATACTTTTATTGAAGAGGAAAATCTCAAGTCATGCTGTGTATTGGTATTTTCTGAGAGGGACTGATTTCAATATACCACTCTCCTGCTGATAAGAGGGCCTCGGGGTAAATAACAAAGAACAGTCAATTTTGCAGATTTATAAGAATGCATTGAAATTCCTTGGTTTTCTCAAAATGCATGTTAGACATAAGCCTGGGATTCATCAGGCTTTGGCACTCAGTAAATGACCATAATTTTTGTATAATCAAATATACAAAAAAAACATAAAGGCATAAATGCATAATAGATATTATCAGAGACATAGATAGATGTTATCTATGTCTCTGATATTATTGTCTCTAAAGCGGAATTTTCTATATGTATCCATTTATCCACATTTCTTGCCATTCTGCATAATAATATCACGGATTTATATTACTATATACTATTAATATAAATCCGTGATAATATATAACTTAAGAGGCAATTCCTCATGTTCAAGATTGAAAGAGAATATTAATTCATTGATTTTAAAACATTTTTTACACTGTGATATTATGTTTTTCAACCATAAAATGCTGGCATACTTTTTAAAGATATACATAATTAAAATTCTTCCATAAAATAAATAAAATTGATAACTTTATTCAACATTTCTACATTAAAAATGTAATGTATAAAGGGAATATTTTTTAACAAGAGGAAAGTCTCGAGTCATGCTGTGTATTGGTATTTTTTTGAGAGCAACTGTTTTCATTACACTGGTCTCCTGCTGATAAGAGGGCCTCAGGGTAAATAACAAAAATGCAAATGTATGCAATATTTATTGAAAATTTCCTTTTTTCCCCCCAAAATACATGTAAGTCATCGATAAATGACTATACTTTTTGTATAATCAAATGTAAAAAATAATCTTAATGTCATAAATGCACGTTAGATATTATTGTCATTTATTGTCTTTGAAGTGGAATTTTCTAATCTTATTATAAAAAACTGGTTTAAAACCAATATCAGTGTTAACTATTCTACAAAGACTTCGTATCAATATTTTTTCACATTTCTTGCAATTCTGCATTAAAATTTGCAGCATCTTTTAGTTTTTGAACTGGGAAATGTTATTTTTTTCTATTATAGATTTGACAAATTTGCCTTGTCAGTTTTTACGCATTTAGAAGATAATATATTTTAAAGAAAATATTATTTAAATACATGATTATAAAACTTTTGCAACTTCCTTTTCACTTTAATGCAGATCTGTTTTTTTTTTTTTTTTTTTTTCCTGTTTTTTTTTTTTTTTTTTTTTTTTAATTTAATATCATACATGAGCAGAAAACAGTTACAGGAGATTAAAGTGTCAAAAGTCATGCTGTGTATAGGTGTTTTGATATAGTACCCTGCTGATAAGAGAGCCCCTCAGGGTAAACAACATAAGCCAGATTAGGCGATGTAAATTCTGTAATCTCTGGATGTTGGTGCAAATAAATTTCATTACAAATAGTACAAAAAGAAAAATGAATATTTTTGCAATTTATAATAAACCCATAAAATTAATCATATTGCATAATAATGTTACAATGCATGAAAAAAAAAGGAAAAAAGATTGGTATTGTCTCAAAAAATGGAATTGACAGATTTTCTAATCTTTTTGTTTATATACATGTCAGTTTAAGTATACTAGTATCCCACAGGTACATATCAATACTTAATCCACACATATCAATACATACCACCATTATATATAAATATTTATTTTCAGAATAATATATATCATTTATATTAATCTTAGGTAAATCTCAGTTTGAGAAGGTAAGAGAGATTATAAATGAAATAAAATTGACAAAATTTAGGCCAATTATAAACATATTAATTCTTTAATGTATTAAAGGCTATTAATGCTTAAAATCATTACCTTTAACTAAAACAACCATAAGTTAAGATCAAAAATAACTAATACTACGGTATAATTCCCCCTCCCCCCAAAAAAGAACTGACTTAATTTTGTTTGATTAGCATTTCAATGTTTCATATTTCATTACCAGATTATAATAAAATAGAATCATATTAAATATCAATTAAGTTTGTTTATTTATGCACTTATCAACATTAAAGTTATAATTATTTATATTTAAATTACTTATTCTAACAATTAAATTTTAGTACAAAATCAGTAAAATTAATGACTTTGAAATTTATTGTTCTAATATTTTACGCCATATTTTACAAAATCCAATAATCACAATTTCAAATTTTTATTGAAAAACTATTATACAGATATCTATATTTTCTATCTTTTTGTAAAAGTCAAATTGCTATTCAGTGAAATAAAAGGTAACTGCTTAATACATATAATAGGTCTGGTGCACTACAAAGTGCACTTATGAAGTGTACTAGTAGTGCACTACTAGTGCACTTTGTAGTGCACTAGTAGTGCACATCTAGTGCACTCCTAGTGCACTTTGTGTAACCTTTAGTGTGAACTCAACTGTATCTTCTGATCTTTTCTAAAAATAATATTTAAATACATGAACATAAAATTAAGCCAAATATGTATTAACAAAAACTTTGATTTTTCCAATTATACTATAATTACAAGTATTGTGATTTCCGCATTTTAAGTTTGTTAATAAATAACTCGAAATATATTTAAATCTTAAGTTCAATTCATTAACTGTTCATTACAATTTACATACAATTAAAGAAATAAATAGTTAACGTTTAATTGCCTCTCATTACGACAATAATCAACACAAATATAGTTTATGAGTTTTCCCTATATATCTAATACGATCCCAGATCCCGGGCGTCCCGGATCCCGGGATTTTCCCCCCACCTTTAATGGAGTACATATACTGTATCTTGGTTCAAAACACAATGATAGGAAAATGTATATTTGGGTATGTTTGATTATATCTTAATGAAAGTGTATATAGTATTCATGATTAAAACAGCACTTTTTTAGCATAAAACATTCATTTTTAGTATAATTTGACAATATTTGGGTATATTTAGGCAATATTTGGGTATTTCGTGCTGCCCAGAGAATAGTCTGTCATTCCTTCCAAATGAGATACAGAACTAGCAATTATTATGATTTGTAACGATTTTATCACCTGTTAATCCAGATTTCCGTTGTCCAAATCCATAATTAAGATTCCTATATCCTTTAAATAATCCGAAATTGACGTCACTTTTTTGGGAACCGCTTCCAGAGGTTTTATTTTTAAGCGTTTGCGGGTTAGACTCCACCCAGTTGTCTGTGGCCAAAGATACGACAATTAAAGTGATGCCTATCAGAGCCAGAAAGAATGTGAATATTATCAAAGTCCTTTGTTGTTGCTCCATTATCAAAAAGTAAACGAACAAAATAATTTACAACATTAATGTGGCGCTTATTTCAACAATTAAGCAATAATTTCAATCCGTTATCTTTCTTTATTGACTTTTTCGGCCATATTGTTTCATTGGGGTTTGCCTAAAATACGAAAGTGAGATTTTTGACGAAAGTGAGCGAAAGTGAGCGAAAGTGACTTTTAAAATATTAATTGTAACGTTTTAATAGACTTTTACAATAAAATTGCAGTTTGTATACGTATATTATTAGAAATTACTTATATTTATTATAAAAAATAATCATAATGATGATTTATTCGGTTTTTATTTGCATAATTTATATACACAAATTCTTATATCTTCCTTTCGCTTACATTGAAAAATACGAAAGTGACTTATAAAATATGTTTAAATTGAAATTATTTTTACTAATATTGCACAAAGTGGACGTATAATATCAGAAAATGATAATATTTACTTTCAAAGATAACCATTATGATGATTAAATCGCCTTTTATTTTGCATAATATCTATACACAAGTTATATACAGAGATCTTCCTTTCGCTCGCATTGAAAAATACGAAAGTGGCTTACAAAATATCAAATATACTGTTTAAATTGAATGTATTACTAAAATTGCAATTAATTTGTAGACGTACAATATCAGAAGTCAATTATATTTATTTTTAAAAATAATCATTATGATGATTTAACCGCCCTTTATTTGCATTACACAAGTTAAAAGATCTTCCTTTCCCTCACATTGAAAAATACGAAAGTGACTTCAAAAATGTCAAATATAGCGCTGAAAGACGCATGTTTTCAGAAATGAATAAAATATATTTAAAAAAAATCATTATGATGATTTAATATCCATGTATTTTCATAATTGCTGTATACCTGTTCTGATATCTTACTTTTGCCCACATTGAACAATACGAAAGTGACTTAATCGGACGAAAGTCAATGTCAATATTCACGATATCAATGTTTTTTATAATAAAAAAATAAATGAGTCATTTTCATTATTATTCATGTTTTCATGGTGATTGACCTATAACTGATCCCAGCTGAAGCCATCAAAGCTGACCCAGAGACTGCTGCCAACATGCTGCACCAACTCTTTGATAAGATCTGGGAGGAAGAACATATCCCAAATGAATGGAAAGAAGGGATACTTATCAAGCTACCAAAAAAGGGAGACCTCAGAGATTGTAACAACTACCGGGGTATCATGCTACTCTCAGTGCCAGGCAAGGTCCTCAACAGAATCCAACTGGAAAGGATGAAGAAGGCTGTGGATCCGAAGCTCCGGGATGAGCAGGCTGGGTTTAGAAGCAACAGATCATGTTCTGACCAGATAGCCAGCCTGCGAATCATTATAGAACAGTCCTTGGAGTGGAAGTCCCCCCTCTATGTCAACTTTATTGACTTTGAGAAAGCGTTTGACAGCTTGGACCGGCAGACACTGTGGAAGCTGATGAGGCACTACGGAATACCTGAGAAACTTGTATCCCTGGTAAGAAACACCTACCAAGGGATGTCATGTAGAGTGTCCCATGCTGGCCAGATGTCGGAACAATTCGAGGTCAAGACAGGGGTTCGCCAGGGTTGTTTGCTGTCTCCATTCCTTTTCCTCCTAGCCATAGACTGGATCATGAAGACCACCACAACAGGCAGGAACAACGGCATACAGTGGACACTGCTGACGCAACTCGATGACCTCGATTTCGCAGACGACCTTGCCCTACTGTCACACAACCGTAGACAAATGCAAGAAAAGACTACTCTCCTGGCTACAACAGCGGCAGACACTGGTCTCAACATCAACCGTAAGAAAACAGAGTTGATGAAAATCAACACCACTGCACAGGCTCCTATCACAGTGGACGGTGAGCCGATCAAAGAGGTTGAGTCCTTCACCTACCTGGGGAGTGTGGTAGACCAACAAGGGGGCACTGACGAGGACATCAAGTCAAGAATTGGCAAAGCCAGAGCTGCCTTTATCATGCTAAAAAACATCTGGGCCTCAAAGGAAATCCGTACCTCCACCAAAATACGGATATTCAACTCAAATGTCAAGTCCGTGTTATTGTATGGCTCAGAGACGTGGAGAATGACCAAAGTTTCCATCCAGAGAGTACAGACATTCCAAAACACATGCCTCAGGCGCATACTCAAGATCAGATGGCCTGAGAAGATATCGAATGAAGATCTGTGGAGAAGAACTTGCCAACAGCCTTTGGATGTCCTGACCAGACAGAGGAAGTGGCGCTGGATTGGGCACACGCTCAGAAAAGCTCCAACCAGCATCACACGTCAGGCCTTTCTTTGGAATCCACAGGGGAAGAGAAAGAGGGGACGTCCAAAGAACTCCTGGAGACGTGACACCGAGTCTGAGCTGAAAGCCAACAACATGTCCTGGCACGATGTCACCAGAGCAGCCCAGAACCGAGTGAGATGGAGGTCCGTCGTGGATGGCCTATGTTCCTTCCGGAACGACAGGCCTAAGTAAGTAAGTAGACCTATAACTGATGATGAAAATGACTAGCACAAAATATAAAAAAAAACCTAACTTATAAAAAGATTGAACTTTACCGATATATATAGTACGATATTATAGAAATCTCCGTGGATTACTTATTTCCTTTTTTCATAGTGAAATATTATTTTAACAATGATTGCAAATTCCAAATTATTTTTCAAATTAACATGTACATTGCTCATCTACACCTGGATGAGCATAATAACTGCCACTTTAATCCGTGCAAGATATCTATGGTGGTGCAGAAGAAATTAGGGTTAATTCAATTGTCCACTCAATAAACAATATAAATATATAAATATAATATTCAAAATGTTCTATAAAGAACTACTGATGTTAACTTTACAATGCAAAGTTTGAAAATGATTTCTTAGAAAAGGAATGTAAATTGCCCGTGCATAAGAACTTGTGTATAGAGTATTGAGCGCTTCTTAAAATACGGAAAGAATTTATTACTTTTCGCGAAAAGATCTATTTGTACGGAAAGTGATAATGATCTTCCTATGTCTATGAAATATTTTCAAGCTATGAAAAGCAAAAACTGTTATTGAGTATCGTTGCACAGAAAGACAAGAACATGCATCATAAAATCTACAATATACAATAACTTTTACTACTAAGAAATGAGTGTTCCAATTTTAAAAAAAAAGAACATATTACTCTACTGACCTGTACATCTTCTGCAAAGTAGAGAGATACAAAAACACTTAATGATTATTCTATCCGTGCTCTGCCTTGTACCCTGGCCTGCTTTTGTTTGGGGTCCTCCCGCGCTCCCTGCCGCTGGTTCTTGTTGCTGGTCGTGTGTGGGCTGCGTTCATTGAACACTCCCTTTCCTTGTTGATCTTGTTTATCATATTTTACGTCGACTCCATGAACAGACTCTGCAACCTTTTTGTCGTATGGATTCTTTATTTCTCTCCATCATAAATAACAAAAGAGACATGCGCTTCAAGCTATTTACCAACAAACATGCTTAACAATAAAAATATGATCAAAATTAAGATTCATGCATATATTTAGATATAACAATGTACATAGTACAAAGTCATATCAAGCAATTTTACATCCTCATTAAGGTTCATAATTATGAACGAGGATGTACATTGTGTATTTAATTCTTCAAGACCTTACTCTTCAGTATTGATTATCACACGCTTTCTTTTACTTGTGGACCACGCAGTACGTGTGGCGTTTTTAACGAATGGCACGGAAGTGTCACATTGAAGGTTCCATGATCGAGAAATCGGGTGTGCGTGGAGAGGAATTTGAGAAAGCAAAAGCTAACATTCGTGTTGGAAAATAAGAAAATTACAAACTTGAGCAGTATACAAGACGTGAAAACATTCGTATTTTGAACTAGCACACTGAAGGAAAAGATCTTGAGAATGATTTTGCTGACTTTCTCAATAAGATGATTTCTTACAACTCTACTGATGTTGAACAATCTTAACTTCCCAGTTTTTCCATTGACGGCTTAGTACATGTCATCTATAGCCGTGGTTCTGTTAACATAAGTCCCATGTGTGTCGCCAGTCAAATCAATTCAATTCAATTCAATAGCTTTATTGTACAAATGGCCTCATGCCCATACACAGTGCATACAATACAAATTAGCATTGCTGGAGATATAGTAATGGTCAAATTTCTAATACAATTATAAAGTACATGTACAATCTTAATATAAATTATTTTAAACATTTTAGGAAATTATCTCTTTCTTTCATTGCAAAAAAAATATAAATAGCAACATTACGTATCAATGACTCGTCTTTAGTAGCTATCAAAAAGTAGAACATTACAACAGTCGGGTATTGATAATAATACAATGGTACATAAAATAAACGTAAATTTGCATATAAAGAATACACGTCAAGAAAGTGATATTCGTCCTCTAACATTGATTCACAATACATACAGCCACGATGTTCTCTATCGATATTTAAATGTCTACCCTTTTCAACCATTAAACAATGAGACGAGCTTCTAAAACTAGCAAAGCACATTTTATACCTGTCAATATCTATAACAGATTTTTTTAGGTTAAACATAATATAATGATTAAATTTCTAGACACTTCAATTGCCAAATTTGCTTAAATTGATCTTTTAGACACTGTTCTTATTGCGCTATAAATAATTAAGGACGTATCAAAAACCATTTACACAGGTTTAATCGTACATCAGTCACCCAATGTTTGTATCCGATACTATCATAATACATTTCATAACATAAACGTGTACATCTATTTCTAGGAAGGTTTATAAGTCTCAACCAAAATCTAATACAACGTTTTGCAGCAGATATATACATCGGGTATCTACCCAGATCGTCAAGGATAGCGTCATAACAAGCAGAAACATTGACTTTCAAAAATCGTTTACAAGCATATAATTTTACAGTTTCAATACATTTATTGTCTTTAAGACACCGCTATTCTGATCCATATAACATTATGGATGCTACTTTAAAATAAAAAAAATCTTGAAAACTGTTCAATATGGTAAACAAGAAATATATTGAAATGAACTGAGAATGTACAGTCAGACAGTGCATCATGTCTTCAAATATAAAAAAAAAAC